TCCCCGGACTCCGTTCGGCTGTCTCTCACCCTGCGCTCAACCTCACTCTTGAGCCGCATGGCGCCGCTGCTGCTATGTACCTCACGAAGTTCCTTTTTTTGTTCCCAAATGTAATCAAACACGCCTTTACTGCATGCAGTTATTTGCTTTTCAAATTGAGCTCTTGGAAATTGTTTCATGTTATTTTAATTACTTGTATTAAAAATTCTCTTTCGCGACGTTTTTCTCGTTACTCCTTGGCGGAGTTTTTTTATAACGTAGTACAAAGTTAACGAGAAATGTCACGTGTAACGGCGTGGCCGTGAGACGAGGCGAAAAAATTAATAATGTTTGTGGAACTTTTGTCACAAGAAGTTTCCCAGAAACAAGAATTCGCGGAATAGCAAAGCTCGTAGTTTCGTCCGCATTTTGTTTTCTCCCGTGATGCCAAGCGCTTGAATGGTTTTCTTCAGCATCGCTGATTTCTGTAGTTTCTCTTGTGCCAAAATTTAAGGTGGTTATAATTAATTAGAAATTTGCTTTGTTTTATTCATTATGTATTGTGTTTTATCACACAATGTTAATGAGAATGTAGGAGGAAAGAAGAAAAGTAAAATTGAGAGACGGAATACTGTTAATCATTGTCAGTTTGTTATATATCCACTAAATAGCTTTTCTACATGGTGTCCGAAAAATTCTTCTGATGCAAGGATGTAATAAAATTAAAGAGCTGCTTCAGGAAAAATACTTCTGAAAATAAACCTCACGAAAATGATAACAAGTAAAATATTCTATTGGTATAAAAAATTAAATATTTTTTTAAAAAATTGTCTGTATTCACGAATACTATAATAATATAGTATTGTATACATACAAAAGAACATTTCTTTGCATATCAAGAATATCTAAAATATATTCCATTAAGCTACTCTTGAATAGCAAACATTTAATGGCGCGCAGCCTCTTCCTTGGAGCCTTGCTGGTGCATGACGTATAGATGTGTTTTGACCCTTCTCGAAACTAGAGAAGTAGCCAGCTGCCTCGCAGATTCGATACTCAAAGATAAAGCGTTTTTGTTAACGCTTTAATTTTTTTTTGTGTAACATTTGAATTCTAGTGGTCTATTACACTGACACACTCTTTATTTTAAAACGTCAATCTTTTTTGTCTTTCTCATTATTCTTTCGCATTGCTTATTTCTATTTCAAATCTATTCTCTGAGATCCACTGTAGTTTGGTTTATTGCATTTGTGACTTTACTGAAGACAACGTAACAAGCGTTACATCATAACTTTTCTTCATTTGTAAGTTGAACAGATTACTACCTAATTTAATTATATATTAATAATAGCAACTAATATAATGATAGAAGCTACCCATATTCCATGAATTCGCCATATCTATTCGTTCATCAGAATTTCTTCGAGCAGAGAATTGTCTAAACCTTTTAACACTGTTGTGTAGGGCGAGTAATTTCATCCTATTCATAGCGAGAAGTTCGAATAACTTTATCTCAGGCTCATAGCTCAGCGACCTGTGTGTGTGGTGAATGGTGAGTCCTGGCGATATTGCGATGCTGCAAGGTTTCTTGGAGGTAGCGGGATAAGAGCGGGACAATGCACTGCTTAGAGCGAAGCTCTCGCAGCAAAATGGCAGAACCAGTTCATCTCTTTACTCGGAAGACGTGTGTTTTGTTCCGTATCCTGAAAAATTAGGATTGGGATTCGAAAAAAATTGGGATTTGCATTTGAGAAAATTTAAGATTATAAAACAATTGTCTTAAGAATTCGGATACGAGAGAATTCCTGGCTCGGTTACGAGAGTATTCCCAATTCGGATACGAGAGTATTTAGGATTCGGATTCCACAAAATGTAGGGATCGTATTCGAAAAAACTTGAGAACCGAAATCGAAAAAAATTCGGGTTTGTATTGGAGATTATTTGTGATTCGGATGCGCAAGAGGAAATAATTGTACATTTTTTTCTTTTTATACAAATTATTAGGTAATATATCCCTTCTCCCTGAAACTATTAATTGACGCTCCGGAGGACCCGCATTTGCGGTCGGGTAGTTATTCCGGGACGTGGATATTGTTTTGATGAACATTTCCCATCACGGAAGTTTTGCGCCATTTGGCCGCCGCCGCCGCGCGACGCAGGGAGGTGGGGGCTAATGAGCGCGCAGTTAATTGCATTCTGAGGCGAATGCGTTTGTCGTGGGTGGACGGACGGCGCAGGCGGTGCAGCTGCTGCGGCGATGGCACCGGCGCAGGCAGGCCCTGAGCGGGTCTGTTTGGGTCGATTTGTGGTCGCGTACTCGCCAAGGGTTACGGTCATTAGGCCCGTAAGCGTAGTGCATTCTATATTCCGAAATGCTTTTGCTCTCTGTTGGAAAGCGGGAATCGTCGCCGACGTACACGTCTTTTTGTGGGGATTCCACCCCGCACATTGTTTCCTTAGCGGGACACTGCCACAGCCGCCACAAGCGTATAATTGCCTAATATTATAAAATGGCGTAATGTGTTAAAGCGTGAAGGCCTTGTTTTAAACAATTTGAAAAATTAAACATGAGATAGAAAGAACAAATTTCAAAGTTCCACTCCAAAGGGCGATATTTAGAATATACCTGCTAAAACAAACAACAATAACTCTCGTTCGCGCTCCTGTATGTATCTGTAATTTTATTAGTATCTGCAGTTAAATTTGGCTGTAGTTGAAAATTCCGTTATGTATTTTCCTTGTTTTATATTATCCGAGGTACCATCAGCACCAATTACCTTGGATTATCACGATTCTAGTGTATAGAATTATTTTCAATTTTATTTTGGTGCTAATAAGATGATAGTAGAACGGCAATGCATTAATTTGTTTATGAATCTGACAAAAAACTCACTACAACGGTGGAAGATGTGTTGCATTTAAACGCACACGTTATTCCTCTTAAATTTTCTCGCCTTCTTTTACACTGAGGCATTGGATAAGTAATATGTGGCAGTACGGATATTGTATTCCCTGAATCGTAAACTATATCAGCCAAGCACAATTTTGTTTCTTTTATGTCTGAAAGATTGTTTCGTATTTTTCATTTTCTTATGTTTCTTTGAGACTCTTCCTTCAGAAAATCCCGCTTGCGTGCATCTCCGAATCTCGAACCTGTCGCTTCATCCTCGCGTTGGTTCTTTCTCATAAAAGAGCCCTCGATTTCGCCCCGAGGCGAAAAGGGATTCGTTCTTTACCGCGCTGATTCGATTCGCGATGTTTACCCCGCGCCGCGCCGCGCCGCGCCGTCCTTTTCAGCGCCACCCTACAATCGCCAAGTTCTCCATCGATTGAGAGAGACACAAAAGCGGGGTGGGGGGTGGGTGGCAGGGAAGGCCGCCTGGAATCCTTTTGGCGATGCACTCGGCGAATGTAGAGGGCGCTGCAAAGAATCTGTCAGAAAAGAATCGGACTTCCAAGGAATACGGAATGTCTTGCTCCGCAGATTCCCACCGAGGCACAAGGCTGCCTCTGCAATGTTATTGAAGAGAAACTCATACTAGTATTCATTGTATTTGTACAAAAACTCTTTGAAATCTTCGTTAATTTTAGACTCAAGGTAAAAGAAAAAACAGCATTATTAAAAAGAAAAGCAAGTTAACTTATATTGAAAAATACCTATCTTTTTGTATATGACTTGCTTCTTTGATTATTGTTCCTAATGTGTTGGACAAGAAAGAGATTTAAATGTTAAGCAAAATAATATTAGAAAAGTATTAACAGGTCTTGTGCGAAGAGGGTCCAAAAACTTCGTATTTTTTTAAATTTAAGATGAAAGAGAATTTTTTTAGTTAAAAGCACATCCATCATTTAACATGAGGTATTTCTCACCGACTTACTTCTTACATTCTCACTGTTACACGGCAATTTGGGATTTATATTTCAATATTTCACAATTTATATATAAAGTAATATGTTATATTTATACAATAAACGTAATAATATATTAATATAATCATTACATTGCTTGATTTTTCTATTTGTTTAATCTTCTTGTAGCCATTTACAATTGAATTAACATGTCTGTATGATACAACTTTGAAATTACCAGAGGGTTTCACTCTAAAAATATTCCACCAAAGTTAAACAACATTATAAGTAACCCCCTGCCTTCAATTCTAATTCTCAGTACTTTTATAGTTCAATCAGTGTATCGCTAACTTAGTTATTTCACACGAACTAGACGATTCATCAATGCCACTGGAAAAAAGATTCAGAAGGTTCCAAAACGCTAAAATTGCAACAAAGATTACTCTCTTAATGAACTCTTCATCACCCCTTGTACGAAAACTAGATCAAAACTATCCAATTCTAAAAGGAGATGAAAACATGACAATATTTAATGAATAGTCTATAAATTTAACATTACTCCATAATAATATCTTTGACTGCCATATCTGACAATCAAAGAGCAGCGATACTTAAGGAGAAGTTTCCCTAGATGAACAACAAAAAGAAGATATAATTCCATGGAAAACATTGCTATGCAGACACATCACATGTGGCAGATTTTTCACATAATTAGCACCAGAACGGCGCTCAACCCGCTGGGTTCTCGTTGACTTCTATGGGCCGCGGCATCTCTTTGAAGACTTGCAAACCACAAGTGCGCGCACAACTCCTTTCTCATTCCACTGTCACAGGTGCGGAAATAGGTTCAGCAGACAACCTCGCATCAACAGATTAAAATATACATATAGGAACATATTACAGATTCATTCCAATATGTTAAACATCACCCCACTTCACATCGCTTCGAAAACGAAGGAAGACATGCCTTTGGAGTGATTAATTTTTAGAACCTCAGTAGTAACAACACTTCACAATGCGTGTGATAATAACTACTGCTACCGCTTCGACTTCTAATAATAAAATATAAATATTTACTCCAATAATAATGTAAATCCAACATTACCTTCCTACAAACATTTACTTTTAAATTTAAAGTTACTTCGTAATTTGCCGATGACTTTATACCAGAGGAAAGTGCCTCTAGTATTTTCGCGGGTAATGTGTTCCAATCCATTACAGTGCGATTCCGGAGTATCTCTTGGCCTCTTCGGGGAACGCCTGCCCACTTGACCGCGCGGCCTTTCGGTGCCCTTGCAGATGCTGGCTGCGCAAGGGTCGGTGGCCTCCAGAAGGACCTGGGGCAAGGGAGAGGAGAGCCCTTCGTCGCCCGAGTCACTCCTGTAGGCCCTTTTCATCGAAGCCCTCGCCATCGCCGACGCCTCGCCAGGAACAAAGAGCTTTCTTTGTGGCGCGAGCGAGGCCTCCTGCGATTTCGGGTCGCCGTCAATTTAAAGGTTAGAATAACTGATAGGTATAAAAAAATAGGAAGACTGGTGTACCAAATATAACAGTCTATTGTGCTTTCTGCTTTACTAAATGTCACAATCTAAATCGTACAAAAAACAAATACGGTTAGACCAACTATCCAGAAAAGAAAATACCAGGACCTTGGCCGTTCACATTTTTACCAGTAGATGTACAAATTCTGAGACTAGTCACTAACAGTTTCAAGTGAATTAACTTAGCATAGTCGACGTCACGCAAGCAGTAGCAATAACTATAGCGCACTCGCTCATGGTCCAAATCTAATCTACTTTTCCTAGCGCCCTTTATATACGTACCACCGCTGCTGACCCAGACTCGCTCTGACGACTTTCTGTTTTGGGAAGCTAATATTACTGCGCTGAACTGTAGGCTTTAATACTCGTATAGAGCTCGCGCCAACTTGAAAGATAGCTACGCACACAGCAATAACCTACCGGTCATAAACGAAAATGTTTTTTTTCTATCACGTTTGTGGCCCGGTTATGAAAAGGGATTAAGAATTCAAAAAAACCTTTCAAAATGGCTCTGCAAAATAAAATATAGAAATTAGTTCACTGGCGTTTTTAATGAGTTTATACCAGTAACGGTTCGATAAGAAATGATAACCATATGGTGTATCCCTTTGATTACGTTTTGATTTTCTTTGTACTATTACACCGTGTAGCCTTAGACCAAATGGTAAATTCTAAACACGTTGTACACAATGTGTTAAATTGTGTCTTGGTTTTGTATTATTCTAGTAGTCTTTACTACAAATAATTTTATGTATCATGTTAGAAGTACAAATATTTTGGGGAGAATTTAGTAAATGACCAATTCCAAAAATATTCCTATTTCTGCGGAACTGCTTACATAATTGTTTTGTACACTAACCTCTTAAAAAACCTTTTTTGTCCCGTAAACAAGCGAGTAGAAACTCATACATCTCATTTTGTGTAACAAATGTAAACGATACTTTCACAAGCATTGTCGTCGTATTTGTTGGTTACAAGTGCTCGTTGGTCGTGAACTGAAAGGAACTGTGTTCTGCGTATTATTGCACGTGTTTATGGAAGTAGTCTGGTAAACAGATGTTACAGGCTTAGGGAGACATAACTGAACTACGGACGATTAATAGTACAGAAATAGATGCTTCAAGGGGTGTCTGTTGAAAACATATTCATTGTGTAACAATGTTTTTACAGGTTTGTCGTAGATACCCCAACTTAACGGACGACAACAATTCAGAAATGGATGCGTCAAGCGGTGACTGATAAAAAAGTGAAACAATGTAAATATTGTATTTTGTTTACAAACGCCTTTTTTGCGAAACCTCTGATATTTCATTTCCGGGTTATTGCAAGTGGATATAACCATCCGCTTAAACCGCAGGTAAAAAACAAACAGAAAAAGCTAAAATGGCCGGTTATTTCTACTAGCGGTGATCCCTACAAAGAACGCGAATGCCTTTCGTCACCTGAGTTCCTCGTGTAAGCCCTTTTCATCGAAGCTCTCGGCCTCGCCAGGAACAAAGACCTTTGTGGCGCGGGCAAGGCCTCCTGCGATTACAGGCAGCCGTCAATTACTCTGCTTGTCAGGAGGCCTGGCACGGCGGAGGTGGAGCTGATATTGCAACGCGTAGACCGTTGCTGTGGGTCTGTGTGTGTGTGTGTGGGGGGGGGTGTTCGCGTGACTTTTTTGCGGCAACCCGGCCTCACAGGGCAGGTGGGCGTGTTGAACGGTGTTTTAGCCGTTGAGGTTTTAACGAGACGCAGGGCTTTAAACGAATGAGACGTATATAAATGATACTAGAGTAGGCTTTGTAGTTCGCTCGCCGCATTTTCATGAGGTGGTGTTTGCATTTCAATGTCAAAGGTAAAGGAACCTACAGAGAATGTGACTCAGTCTTTTAATTATGTTCTTATAAATATTCTATGAGCAATTTGACTGTGCATCTGAGAAGATACGCAATGGCTGTGTGTTTATATAATATGTTAAAATAGTGTTATAGCGATAATTTTAAAATAACATTACCTTATATTAAAACAAATATATGTGTGAATAAAAGATACCCAGAGATAAAAGCTACTTTTTTCAGATGATACAATTGCAGGTGTGATCGTCCCCCCCAAAACGGACATTGATCTCGGTCCATCCTTGCTTGGTTTTTATGTTATTTGCATTGTCAACATTGGTAGATATTGATATCTCATTCATGGAATATATTTAGAAATATTTTACTCATCCAATTCAAGAAAAGTTTAAGCATTGTAATCGCATCATGCGAAATTATATCTTTGACTCTGCGGGACTTCACACTAGTAAAAGGTTGATTCGGAAATAAATACTTTTTTTCAAACGGTGAGTTTTAATAATTGGATTCATTGTGTTTACTCTGAAAAATAATGTCTTTTTGTGTCGTTTACGTTGGTCATCTCATGCGTTGGCGCTAGCGATTGGATACACATGAGAAGAGAAAAGCTTACACGCATGAATATGCATGCATGTTTCACAGTTTACTGCCGAACAGTATTGTTGCTGAAGGGGAATACTGATGACATTGTTTACTCATTGAAGAAAATTACGAGGAATAAATTAATAAAATATCCTAGCTATATTTGTATAAATTGTACTCTTTTTCAAATCATTGTTTTCAAAGCTGAGAGCGAACGTCTTTGTGTTGAATCAGCGCTATCACCAAGGAGTCGAGAAACCTAAGTGAGGACTGTCAGAATAGTGTGGCGTCGTGGAAATCACATTACTAATCACAGACAAGAGCACAACTATTTACACAGATTATTTACAATATTTACGAGCTACCTTGTAAATATTTCCTAACTAACTGCAATTCATTGCTTGAGTCGTGGCCCTCGCCATTAATCAAAGACCTACGCACACAGCCACGTACCATTACGTGGCCAGTGTCACAAGTGAAATTGATATTCCACTACAGCTTGTCAACATTGGGTTGCCCCACGAGAATCGCTCGTCAATGCACGCCCTGGGCGCAAGTTTTGTGCAGCGCACGAGGTCTCCCACTCTGCTCCAAACCCACTCCTGTGACTCGCGCTCTAAGTTTTATACGCACAGCCCACGTGACTCGCGATGGCATATTCTCGTGGCAACCAACTTCACGTGATCGCTGCGACGCCCCTGCGATTACGCCACTCAACTGGTTCCGGGCCTTTCCAGCCCCAGCTGCCCCGCCAGCGACTCCCTAACGGCGTCTGTCTAAGCCCTGATGGCGCCAGACTTCCTGCCTGTAGCGTGGTCCTTTAGCAATATGTTACAATAGGCAACTACAGATTTGAAGGCTCTTCCCTGGTCCCATTCTTTGTGAGGAACTTTTCAGATCGCAGTGTAGCAGAAGCCCAAATGAGCTTAGGTGGCTCAGGGCATCAGTTGATGTCACTGCAGTGCCTCTCGTCGAGGTCCTAGAATTCGAGTGCCGACAGTTGCAGTATTTTAGACACTAGCTACATAGGTAGAATTCACTGTCTGCTGGGGAATTCTAGCGGACAACTCTGATCGGTAGTTTTCCGTGGTTTCTCCGATCAACACCTGGCGAATGCCAGAGGAGTCCCTTGTGTGTGGTGAGCTGTGATACTCTTGCCCGCATTTCCCCCCCCCCCTATGGACGATCACATTTTATTGATTTGAATAATCCATAAAGACGCGATTTTTCTGTGCATTTTTTCCAAAGGTTCCCATGATATAAATGCAGAGTTAGAACCTCCTCTCCTAATAAATTTTGCAGCAGTTTTGTACTCTTTCGACTTATTTTCCCTAAACGATATGGGAGAGATGTGTACCCTAATTTCCTTGATTTACACTTTCTTTTCTAAGTACTCTAATCGCAAATTGTAAAGACTTCCATTCCTATTTCACTACACATTTCATCTGTGCGGGCCCATCTTAGATTCTTATTTTGGACAATTCCTAATATTTACATTATTTAGCCCGCGGAATATCCTGATTTCCCAATTTATATTTGTACTAGTGGAACCAGCAATGCTTCGCTAATGCAGAGTATTGCACGTCACATACTACTGATCACGTGATTGTTAAAGTTTTACGCTAATCTGTGCACAAATTCTAATAAATGAAATACTTTCTCGCAGGGATAGATTTTTTCAATGTCCTGGTTTGGACATGATTGACTAGTAACCTAGCGTTAAAACGTGATCCCTGAAATGCGTTCGCTATGATACCAACTTGGAGAAATTTGATATACTTGATTCAAGTAATTCATCCAGCTGGTATTTCAAAATCGTAGGGGCAGAATACTTGTATAGAGTTACGCGTGAAGTCCTTGACTGTGTGGCGAGTTGCGTTGCTCTTGACCGTCAAAAGGAATAAATCATCATCATCAACACCCCACATATACGATGTAATTCATACCACTCTTTAAACACTTCCATTACTAATAAAAACAAAATGCAAAAATTTCAGCGAAATCGGTCGAGTAGTTTCTGCGTCTGTGTGCGATACATATATGCACATTCCCTTTCATTTATATATAGATATTTCCTACTTGTTCATTCCCCTTGTGCAAATTCATGTTCGTTGGTAAAAAGTGATCATATTCGTCCCCTCCACGTGCCCTAGAAGTTTGTCACAGCCATGCATATGCATGATGCAGCAGCGCGATGCTGAGCCAACAAGACAGGAGGTGATGAGTCGCGCGAGCGCGGCGGAGAGTGGGGGCGAGGTCGTGTGGCTACTGTTTATGCAAGAGTCACGGGGTTTCGAAATGAATGTAATGCTTTTTAATGAAGCGAGATTAGCTCCTGGACTTTTTATGGGCATCGCAATCAGTTAAAGGTGATATATCGCTAGAACGCTGAACGCGATAGTGCAGTCGTTGTGCGTTAAAGTGACCTTTCGCAGTAATTTATACTACTAATTTCGAATAAGTGCGAAAATTGATGGGAAACTAAGCCGTCTTTGTTCATGTAAAAGCTGTCAATGGTTTCGTTTGATACCCACAAATATTGTATAAATACAAAAAGAGCGAAATTTTAGCTTTTGACTAAAAAATGCAGATATTTGATTTCGTCAATTCGAAATTTCGTATACTTCATGTTACGACTATATCGTTAGAGTGATCTTTCGCCGTAATTTATACTACTAATTTGGAATATATGCGGAAAGCGATGGTAAACTAAGTAGTCTCTGTTCATCTGAAAGCTATATGTGGTTTCGTTAGATGCCCAAAAGTACAAAAGCAAAAAATGTTTAGATTTTGAAATAAAAAATGCAGATATTTTATTACGTCAATTCAAAATTTCGTTTACGATACGACTATATTCTCATACTCAGACTGTCACCGCTTATGATTTAGCGAAAATGGATTGACAGGAATGTTTGATCTCAAATATATTTGCGAATATTTAATCTCAATGTGATCCTTGCCCATGTATTTCTGTTCCCTAGACATATTTTCTACCCGATTAACACGGTGTGGAATCAGCCATTGCATTCGCAACAATTTAACGCTCTTATGACTATCAGCATTGGTAAAAATGAAAAATATGTTAGTAAAAAGTTTCAATAGAATTTCTAAACACTGAGTGCTAGTTCTCAAAACAGTCAATGCCCCCGAAATGTAATAGATCCGAAACTATCTTCATTTGTTGATTAAGACGTGCGGAAAATAACTGGAGGCTTTTGACTTAGAAATTGAGATTTAAATTCAGATATGCTGCACCGTTTTCTAGTTTCGCAAATCGATGCGAACAAACTGGCCGGTAGGCGGGTTGTGTGTTGCGGGATTGTATTTGCGCATGCTTAATTTAAAGTAGTTTTTACTACAAAATATTTATATTTATTAAGCGAACGAGAAATCGGTCACTTGTTTGTGTAATTCTTTTCATTTTCGCTTCATTTATTAATATTGAGTCTATAAGCCGCAAATCGTAATTCCGACTTTAGAGAAATATGACTAATTAGTGTGCACGAATTGCTGTGTTTATGAATAGAGCAGAGTTAATAAATGATTTATATCATTTTCGCAAACTAATACATTTCCCATTGAAATTGAAACCTGGCTGTTTTGTGATATATTTTTTCTTAGCTCGTGACTGCGTTAGAGTGAATGGAGTGAATGGCGTTACAAGGGGAAAAAAGAAAATACGTGACATTTTGCTGTGCAAAGATCATTGCCATCATATTCGAGACGGAATCTTCGCAGAGGTGGGAATGTTTGCGCTGGGATGCGATTAATGGATGGCTGCGCCAGGGAGGATATTAAACAGAGGTCGAGCTGCCTAAG